AGGTATCATCGTGGCAGAGAAGACAATGAAGCAATACATACACATTTCTCAAGAAATAAAGTACCGCTCAAGAATTTTGTATTCAGCCAAACCTTTTCAGGATAAAGGCAACAAACGTTTTTGAACGCGAGAAACTCAGCGACTATCATTTCCATAAATTGTGCTTGAAAAAAACTAAAGCAAGATCTCCACAAGATGAGATCTCAAGATGACATCACGAGATGGGATGGATCACAGGATGGGATGCCACAAAATAAGTGTGTGGCGAGGGGGGTGGGGACACTTTGGTGAAATCACTGTGGGGGTTCTGAGTCTGCTCACCCGGAGGACCCAGATGAACACAAATGTGGGGCTGATGATTACAGAGCAGAATGTATGATTTTACAGACCCAGTAATGTAGAAGTGGTCTAACTAACAAAAATTGGGATGAGAAGGGAAAGTAAAGGAAGGGGTCTTTAAAGCATATTGAGTTCCTCATTTTTTATAGCCAGGGGTGGAAATATTTCATTTAAAGCAGATAAAAAAAGATCAAGGGGTGCCCAAGTGGCTCAGTTGTTTAAGTATCCGACTTTGGCTCAGTTCATGATCTCAAGGCTCATGAGTTCGAGCCCAGCATCGAGCTCTGTGCTGACAGCTCAGAGCCTGGAGCCTGCTTGGGATTCTGCGTCTCCCTCTCTCTCTGCCCCTCCTCTGCTTGTGCTCTGTCTCTTCCTCTCTCAAAAAATAAATAAACATTAGAAAAAAAATTTTCTAAACAAGTAATAGAAGTATGTGTAAACATATTTAATTTTAAGAAAAAAGCAGACACCGGGGTGGCCTGGGTGGCTCAGTTGGTTGAGTGACCAACTTTGGCTCAGGCCATGATCTCTGGGTTCATGAGTTCAAGCCTTACATGGGGCTCGCCAGTGCAGAGCCTGCTTCAGATCCTCTGTCCCCCCCCCCCGCCCGTGCCCCTGCCTGTTCATTTTCTCTCTCTCAAAAATAAAAATTAAAAAAAACAACAAAAAAAGCAAACATTAAAGAAATATAAATTCCTTTGACATTGGATGTGGAGACAGGAGGGATAAAGAAAAAGGAAACGTACTCTGTTATTGTTGTTCAACAAGCAGTAAACGGAAACAGTCTGGAGCGGTAGAGGACTGAGGGTATTATGTACAATTACAGTTGTAAAGGCAACCTTTTGAATAAAACTTAAACCCTCCAAATCCTCAGGAGAAACACACCCAACACAGCAAAGCAAACACCAAGCACATAAGAAAAGGGTAAAGAAGAACTTGAAAGGCTATGAAAACACAGCATAAAACAACATAACCATTACATGAATAGGGCTAAACCCATCTATTCCAAGAAAAAAGACTTTCAGATTAAATCACAAAACAAAACTTGATGTTCGATTCAAGGGATTTGCCTAATACAAAGGCTTCAGAAAAGAAGAAAACAGAAGGGCAGAGCTGTATTGGGCTGACAGCAAACAAAATTTAGTAGGCTTGTCATTAACATCAGACAAGGTTAAAGTCAGGGCAAAGGTCAAAAACATCAAATGAGACAAGGGTCATTTTATAATTTAAAGGGACAATTCACAAGAATATAAGGATATTTGTGCACAGATAACATAGCATCATCATTTACAAAGCAGGACTCCACAGAAATAAGGAGAAATAAAAATGCAATAGTAGTAAAGTTTTTTTTTAATGTTTATTTTATTTTTGAGAGAGAACATGAGTGGGGGAGGGCAGAGAGAGAGAGGGGGGGACAGAACACCTGAAGGGGGCTCTTTGCTGACAGCAGCAAGCCTGATGCGGGGCTCGAACTCGCGAACCCAGAGATTGTGACCTGAGCTGAAATTGGACACTCAACTGACTGAGCCACCCAGGCGCCCAGATAGTATAAAGGTTTTAATTTACTTCTCTCAGATTATATCAGGTCAAAATACATGTAAGGACATGGAAGGTCCACATGACATAATTAATAAGTTATATTTCATTGATATGTGTTAAAATCTATATGCCAAAAACGGAATATGCATTCCTCTCCAGGGCCCTTAAAGCATTCACAAAAATGGACTCTAGTTTAGGCCGCAAAGAAAACTCAAGTATTTAAAAGATGCAAAGTAGTAAGACAACATTGATCTCTGATCGCTGATCACAATGAAACAAAACTAAACTTTAATGACCCGGTCAGAAACAAAAGACTCTAACCCCTGGAAGTTTTATTTATTTATTTATTTTATTTTTTTAACGTTTTAATTTATTTTTGAGACAGAGAGAGACAGAGCATGAACGGGGGTGGGTCAGAGAGAGGGAGACACAGAATCTGAAACAGGCTCCAGGCTCTGAGCTGTCAGCACAGAGCCCGACGTGGGGCTCGAACTCACAGACCGCGAGATCATGACCTGAGTCGAAGTCGGCCACTTAACCGACTGAGCCACCCAGGCGCCCCTAACCCCTGGAAGTTTTAGAACTCTACCACCCTCTCTTAAAATTTATTTATTTGTTTGTTTACTTGTTTATAAAGATTATTTTATGTATTTAGTTTTTAACGTTTAGTTTTGAGAGAGAGAGAGAGACAGAATGTGAGTGGGGGAGGGGCAGAGAGAGAAGGAGACAGAGAATCTGAAGCTGGCTCTAGGCTCTGAGCTGTCAGCACAGAGCCTGATGCAGGACTCGAACTCATGAACCATGAGGTCATGACCTGAGCTGAAGCTGGATGCCTAACCGACTGAGCCACCCAGGTACCCCATCTTTCTACTCTCTTTTTCACCAAAGATGTCACTCATAGTAATGTAAAAAGTGATCTGCCATGTGGATGGCTGTTTCCACATCCACGTGTATGACCTCAGCTCCTCTATTCACCCCACTACTCCAGCAGGGCTGTGCTGCTCACTGCACAAACTACATAAGGGTACTCGGTGGCCTGCCTCCACTCCACATTAGCCATCTGTCCTCACATCCTGACCTGGTCATCAGCAACCATCTCTATTCTCTTACCAGAAATTCCTTTCCAGGTTGCTTCTTCGATTACTCCAATAAGATAAATAAATCTCGGACCCCCATCAAGATTCCCAGTCTGTTGAACCCACTTCACCATTCAGCTCTCTCCCTCTCCTACTTGTCTTCTTATGCAGCTTAGCTCCTATGATTCAGCATTTGATACACACACACACACACACACACACACACACACACAC